ACAAGAAAATAATTAATTAAAAAAAGAATGAGTTGTAATTTGTTGAAAATCACAATTGAAAACTAGGTATTTTCGAACAAAAACGAACACTAACAATCTTTGCTCGTAAAATAAGGAAGTAAAACAAGGTTGTTTGGTTTAAAAAAAAAAAGTTAATTGACAACCCAAAAAATAAAAGTGATTAATTGAAAAAACAACGAGTTTCAATTATTGACGAAAAAAACAATTGAAAACGAGGTATTTTCGAAGAAGAATGAACTTCAACAATCTTTGCTCATAAAAGAAAGAAGTAAAACAAGGTTGTTTGGTTTAAAAAAAATGGAGTTCTTGACAAACCAAAAAGAAAAACGAATTCAATTAATTGAAACTATAACGAGTTACAATTGTTTTCAAAATATAATAAATGAAAATGAGGTATAATCAAACAAGAACGAAAACTAACAAAATTTTCTAGTAAACTAAAAAGGTAAATCGAGGTTGCTTGGTTTAAAGGTAATGGGGTTCTTTGACAGCCCGATAAAAAAAAACGAAAGCAATTAATTAAAATAAGAATGAGATGTTGTGGTAAAAAAAATCACAACAGAAAATTAGGTATTTTTGAACAATAATGAACACTAACAATCTTTGCTCGTAAAAGAAGGGGAGTTAACGGACAACTCAGTAAAAGAAACCGAAAGCGACTAACGAGTTTCAGTAGTTGAAAAAAAATAATTGAAAACGAAGTATTTTCGAAGAAGAACAAACTCCAACAATCTTTGCTCGTAAAAGAGAAAAGTAAAACGAGGTCGTTTGGTTTTAAAAAATAATTCGAAGAAGATGAACTTTAACGACTATTGCCTGAACATCAACAAACAATTGTAAATGATTTTTTTCTAAATAATTGTACTTTACCAAGAAGGTAATATTTTATTTTGATTAGTTACTTTAAATTTTCAATATTTTTTGTTGATTTAAAAGTAAAATTTGAATAAAAATATTGTGTTGTCACACATCAAAAAACAAAATCTAACGTTATTTTAAAATGTGTGCCTAAAGATAATTTTAATTTTTTAATACTTTTATAATATTTTTTATTAATTTAAAAAATTGATGTAGTAAAAATTGTGTTGTCACAGATCAAATCTGCGGCACACTAATCTTATATTCCCATTATTTGATTGCATTTATCATTCATTTTCTAGAAGTGTTGTCACGTATTTAAGTTTTTTGACCAATCTATACTTATATAAAAAGTCATCCCATTTACTAAAATTAGTAGGAAGAAAAGTCAACTCATAATTAATTGTACACCATATTTAGAAAATTTTAGATATTTTAAATCGTAAAATAGGGTAGCATTAAATGCACCTAAAATTATGGGCTTTGTTGAATTCATGCATCCAAATTTATGTGTGGTTTTGAAGTGAAAATTTGAAATTCAAAATGTCTTCTCATTTTAGTTACAAGAAAATCGGGCTGCATTCAACACTTTGACGAATTTAAAAATTATTCTTTAAATGAAGGAATTTATAGATAATTATTATCTCTACTCAATCGCATGATTATTTCCAATATAAAAAGAGACAGGTTATAATTAGTGATCATATATTACCTAATTCAATATCTTAACATTAAAGAATAAATTCATAGTATTATGTAAATCCGTATCTCATAAGTTATATTATCGAATCATAAAAAGATATTAAATCCATATTGTAAAAAAAATAATTCATATAATTTTATAACAATTCTACTACACCATTTAACAGTATTCCTTTTTA